ATAGGGTTTCTATAGGGTTTCTATAGGGTCTATAGGGTCTGGGGTCTCCATAGGGTCTCTATAGGGTTTCCTATAGGGTTTCTATAGGGTTTCTATAGGGTTTGGGGTCTCTATAGGGTTTCTATATGGTTTCTATAGGGTTTGGGGTCTCTATAGGGTTTCTATAGGGTTTCTATAGGGTCTGGGGTCTCTGTAGGGTTTCTATAGGGTTTCTATAGGGTTTCTATAGGGTTTGGGGTCTCTATAGGGTCTGGGGTTTCTATAGGGTTTCTATAGGGTCAGGGGTCTCCATAGGGTCTCTATAGGGTCTGGGGTCTCTATAGGGTCTCTATAGGGTCTCTATAGGGTTTCCATAGGGTCTCTATAGGGTCTGGGGTCTCTATAGGGTTTCTGTAGGGTTTCTATAGGGTTTGGGGTCTCTATAGGGGTTTCTATAGGGTTTGGGGTCTCTATAGGGGTTTCTATAGGGTCTCTATAGGGTCTGGGGTCTCTATAGGGGTTTCTGTAGGGTCTCTATAGGGTCTGGGGTCTCCACAGGGGTCTCTATAGGGTCTGGGGTCTCTATAGGGTTTCTGTAGGGTTTCTATAGGGTCTGGGGTCTCTATAGGGGTTTCTATAGGGTTTCTATAGGGTTTGGGGTCTCTATAGGGTTTCTGTAGGGTTTCTATAGGGTTTGGGGTCTCTATAGGGGTTTCTATAGGGTCTGGGGTCTCTGGGGTCTCTATAGGGTCTCTATAGGGTCTGGGGTCTCTATAGGGTCTCCATAGGGGTTTCTATAGGGTTTCTATAGGGTCTGGGGTCTCTATAAGGTCTCTATGGGGTCTGGGGTCTCCATAGGGTCTCCACAGGGGTTTCCATGGGGTCTGGGGTCTCCATAGGGGTTTCTATGGGGTCTCTATAGGGTTTCTGTAGGGTTTCTATAGGGTCTGGGGTCTCTATAGGGTCTCTATAGGGTCTGGGGTCTCTATAGGGGTTTCTATAGGGTTTCTATAGGGTCTGGGGTCTCTATAGGGTCTCCATAGGGTTTCTATAGGGTCTCTATAGGGTCTGGGGTCTCCATAGAGGTCTCTATAGGGTCTGGGGTCTCTGGGGTCTCTATAGGGTTTCTAAAGGGTCTGGGGTCTCCATAGGGGTTTCTTTAGGGTTTCTATAGGGTCTGGGGTCTCTATGGGGTCTCCATAGGGTCTGGGGTCTCTATAGGGTTTCTATAGGGTTTCTATAGGGTCTGGGGTATCCATAGGGGTTTCTTTAGGGTTTCTATAGGGTCTGGGGTTTCTATAGGGTCTCTATAGGGTCTGAGGTCTCTATAGGGTTTCTGTAGGGTTTCTATAGGGTCTGGGGTCTCCATAGGGTTTCTATAGGGTCTCTATAGGGTCTCTATAGGGTTTCTATAGGGTTTCTATAGGGTCAGGGGTCTCCACAGGGGTTTTTTTAGGGTCTGGGGTCTCTATAGGGTCCGGTGCTATTTTTGGGGTCTCTATAGGGTCTGGGGTCTCCATAGGGTCTCTATAGGGTCTCTATAGGGTCTCTATAGGGTTTCTATAGGGTCAGGGGTCTCCACAGGGGTTTCTATAGGATCTGGGGTCTCTATAGGGTCCGGTGCT